CAACCCTTACCCCTAACTTTGAAATATAATTGTATTTGGAGACAGCGCCTCTGAAAGATAATCTGCGTGGGCGTTAGTCTAATGCAACTGCTGTCCTTATATAAAGGACACGTTAGAGAAGACCTTGTGAAGACACAGGGAGGCGGCACCCATCTGTGAGCACAGGAGGGAGTACAGCTAAGCATTCGTTCACTGTCCCTTGCGGTTGCCGCCCAGCTCCACAGCCTGCGTGTTGCCTGCTGGGTGTCCTCCCTTCTCAGGGGAAGAATTCAGACTTCACCTCCTCAAGCAACGGCAGACAGTTGCTGTGGCTGCGGTCCTGGGTTTCAGCCTCGACTCTCTGCCAGCATTCCCCTTGCCTGCTGAGGGCGTTGGGAAGGAAGCTTGGTGGCTAGAGGCAGATGTGACAGGCAGGCGACCATCCCCCCGGGCACTGCGGTCAGGACCCATGTCCCTAGGGACTGCACAAGCTGAGAAGTCAGTCTCTCCCCCAGCCGTTGCTGTCCATGTCCAGATGTGCCTCTGCGCTTCGGCCAATAAAACATTCTGAAATGTCCTGCTCACGGGTTCCCCCCTCCTTTCAATACCCGCTCTCTTTAACGATAATTTGGTTGTATAGCCACCTGCACCACCGACTTTAGAACATTTTTCATTACCTGGGGGGAAAATACCATACCTATTAGGAGGCACTTTTCATCTCCTGCAATACCCACACCCTTGGCAACCACTAAGCTACCTCTCTGTCTCTAAAATTGCCTGTTTCTGAATATTTTATAAGGTATAGTCATAAGCCGCCTCCCGTAAGTGGCTTTTCAGCTAGCATAATGTTTGCGAGCTTGGTTGGTATGTAGGGTATATCAGTACTTCATTGTATCACCAAATAATATTGATCCGCCCACCAGCTGGTGGGATGTTTGTTTATTTCTGCCTTTCAGTTATCAGGAGTGGCGCTGCCACGGACATTGTGTGGGTTATTTGTCTCATTGTGGAGACAGCATCCCTGACCAAAAACAATGAAGGAAGAGAGGAGGGCTTTGTTTTGACTTACAGTTCCAGGATGCAGCCCACTGAGCCAAGAGACCCTCCAGCAGGAGCTTGGGGCAAGGGGCACACTGCGTCTGCATTCAGGAAGCATGCGCTTGGCTCAAGGTCTCTTTTTTTAAATCAGTTTAGAATCCCAGGATCCTCAGAATGGTTCAACCCACACTATAGTGAGTCTTCCCCATTTCCCTAAGCCAACCTAGGTAACGCCTCCCAAGATGTGCTCCACGGCTTGTTTGGAGTGATCCCAAGCCCCGCCCAACTGACAATCAAAGTTAATCTTTGCAAGCATTCATGTGAACGTTTTTGTGGGGCTATTTTCATTTCTGTGAGGTGTGTACCTGTGAGTGGCGTTGCGGACCACGGAGACACTACGACGACCGTGACCAAGGAGAAACGCCTGCCGCAGCCTAGGGGCTTTCCCAGTTCTCCGCACCTGTGTCAACGCTGATTCTCCATTGTTTTTAAGTCATAGTCTGCTTGGTGCAAAGCGGTAACTTCTTACGGTTTAGGATATTCTTGCCATTTGCGTATCTCCTCTGTGTAGGTGTCTCCTCAGATCCTTCACTCACGCTTCAGCTGAGTCGCCTTTCTTCATCGCTGAGTTGCGAGAGCTCGTTTCAGCAGGGATGCCGTCTTCAAAAGTTCTCTTGCGTCCTGTGGGTTACCTTTTCGTTTTCAGGGTCACCTGTACATTTGATGATGTCCAGCTACGGATTTCGTGTGTGTGTGTGTGTGTGTGTGTGTGTGTGTGTGTGTGTGCTCTGGGATCATTGCTAAGGGACTATGGCCTAACCTGATATCACAAATATTTGCCACTTCTATTTTAAAGAACCATCTTACAGGTCTAGCTTTTGCTTTTAGATCTTTGGTTCCTTGTGATTTAACTGTTGCGTAGGCTTTGAGGCGATGGATCCCTAACTTGTCTGTTGGGAAATTATGTCTCTCTTCTGTATTAATCCCGGCATCCTAGTCCCAGTCAATTGACCATGAGTGCAAGGGTTGCGGAGTAGTTGTTTGTTAGGCTGTCTAATAATGCCTATGAGAAAGGTCACATGTCATATTATACATCATCATAATGCCTATGTGAAAGGTCACATGTCATATAATACATCGTATGTAATCTACAGTTCTTCATCAGACTAAAGAAATGGCAGACAGACACCATCCTATTTTAGTTCATTTTGAAAATTAGAAGACAGACTCGCAGTAAGTGGTTGAGTAGTAATAACTTAATTTATACCTCAATAGAGACAAAATTACCGTGGGGCATGTGTTCTGGATCTGAGCCTAGACCGGGCTCGATGAGCCAGGATCCATCTGCTGTGACATCAGAGACTCCCCCAAATCCATTGCCAGTGTCCTACACTTTGATCTCCGTCACTGAGGGACAATCCTTGCAGTCACTTCTTCATGACTTTGGACAGACTTTCTGATCACCTTGGCCGGGAAGAGACAGGTGCTGCGGTTACAGGGAGAGCTGGTTCTCTGTGGGGCTGCCAGCTGCCGCTGTAAATCTCTCTAGCCTACCATCTTTCATTTCTAAAACAGCCAGAAGCTTTGGCAAGAAGCCACCGGCGACAGTTTATCAAGTGCCGGCACTTCTGTTTTCTGTCTTCTGGCAAAGTCGGCGATTTAGTTTGTCACGTGGAAGAGATGGGAATTTTGTGGAGGATGTTAAGAAGTGCTCTAGGGGCTCACACATTTGCGGGAGCTAGCAAATTTATCTTACTTTATTACACTGCTCTAGAATTCATTGGGAGAAAATAAAGATTTTGCCCGTAACCCTCAAGACCAACAAGAGTAATCTGTCGGCTATAGACAGGTAGGTCTGTATGTAGCTACATCACACTATAATAGCCTTTGAAGACTCTAAAACCCCATGCCTCGGGAACTAGGGGACGCTTTCAGGAATCCACACTCCCGAGGCTCTATTGAATGAGAAGTCTGGACAACGGATGCTAGGATCCACATTTTAAGACACCCCTGGCGGGTCTCCTACACACCCAAATCCAGAACCGCCTACTTGGGAGTTTTCCTAAGAGGAAGCGCTTGCTTGTATCCCAAGGGCCAGAAAAGCACAGATGCAGAACTCAACTTTAATTTCCGCTCCTCTAAAAGCAGGTGTCTCCCACCCCAGGCTGGAGCAGGGAGGCAGTGGTGAACAGTAGACACGCAGATGGGACCCGCACAGGGCACAATGCAGGGACCACGTCGTTTGTCGAGTGCGAATAACGGTCTCGAGCTCACAGGCTACTGTGAGGATTAGATGGGACAATACCCACAAAGACTCTCACAGTGCCTGTCGCAGACGGTGTGCGTGATATTTATGGCCCGGCACCAGCTGTCCCTTCCTCAGGCCCCTTTCATTAGCTGGTTGGTTACATTCGTGACTTATGAGTCACACGACCAGCTCAGTGCTTAACGACCGGCCTACGGAGCCTGATACATGAGCCGAGAAATTCTGATGGCAAGCTAAAACAAGGTCAGCCTGTTAGCATTCAGGCATCTGTGCTGGCCCGCCCTTGGGGTCCTGACAGGACACGCCATCAGCTGCAGCCACTAAGAGCACCATGCGTGCACATTCACTGTGTTCCCTTTTAAAAGGACCCTGCCCACCTCCCATCTCTCTCTATCTCTCTCCCTCCCTCCCTCCCTCCCTCCCTCCCTCCCTCCCTCCCTCCTTCTCTTCTGCCACTCTTGTCCCCAGAGGCCAGTCTCCCCTCTCCCCCCATTTTCCCATTCACTCCCCCCCCAAAAACCCTCCATCCAAGCATGGCATCTTTCTCTCCTGAGTGCAGCTTTTTAAAATTACAACATAGCCCACTGACCATTGCCAGGTGTGAACCCTCCAGGGTGGTCAAGGAGTTACCCCCAAAAGGTTAGCAACAAACCCAGTGTTCCTGTTGTGTGGGTTTCACTTGTGTTTCTCAGTTCTAAAACAAGCCAAAAATCGGCAAATACAGAACCACACAGACACGAGTACCTTTCCCTTCATCATCCCGAAGCAAACCCTGTGCAAACAAACCCGCCTGGCTACTTCTCAGTTACAGCTGGTGTCTTGCGCGGTGCGACCGTGTGGTGCAACCTCTGGGCTCCGCCGGGCCCTGTCTTGGAGTCAAAGCTCAGTGGCTGCCATCTTGAAATTCTTAGTCATTTTCTCTCTGCGTTTGAGTCTTACTAATGAAATTCAATGCCCCTGAGTGTGCACTCTGCCGAGAGTCACCCCCCTCCATGGCCATCTGGCCTAGGCTGGTGGAGGACACTGGATGTCCTCGCTGGCTACTCCCTCACCCCATAACTCCTGCGGCACCTGGCTGGCCGCTCTCGATCTTGGCAGATCTCTTGCTTCCTGGGCCTTTTTCTCTTACAAATAAGGCACCTTTTATGCTTCATGAATTCCCCCTTGTCCTCCTCTTGCTCCCCCGTGAGGCTCCTTATTTGAATTCTGTGTTTCTTGGCATGTGTTATGGGGCTCACTCGCTCAGTTCTCTTGGTGGAGATGGGAAAAAAACAGTGTGACCTTCAAGTGCATGAGCTTAGTTCTAGGAACTTATTCCAAGAGAACGAGTAAGAATAAAAGTATTAATCAGACGGAGTATTATTCCAGTGACATTTATTGCTAGAAAGTGGAATCAGACATCTAGTCAGAGGGGACTGGTTAAATGATGACTTTTCCACACAACCAGCAGACGTGTGAAATATAACATGGCTGAATGTTTAACGGCCAGGAAAAGTTGTCATCCATGTGCTAAGTAAAAAAACGCCAAGCTACAAAATTACTTGAAAAAAATCTCATTTTTTACATAAAAATGCACATATTCTTACATATTCAAAGATAGCTTTGCATGGTAGAGTTCTGGGAGACCTTTCGGCTGCCCCTTCTCCACCATCTTGGGACTGTCTGTAATACCTGCCGTTTGCAAGCCTCTGATGCTGTCCTCTCCTTGCCTTCCCAG